AAGATTACAGTTTTGTACACTAAATCACTGAAGATTACAGTTTTGAAAATATCTTTGGATTTCTGGATTGTTGACTGCTAAAGTTGCTAAGAAAATATTTTAGTTGGCAGAAAATGCTTCTTTGCTCTCTGTCTTACAGATAAGCTGCTGGTCAACTTTGCAGTAGTACAGACAGCATCTTCTACACACACGAGCAAACACACAGTGTCTTCTACACACACCCTTTGTTTTCTACCTGCACACAGACATACAGCCAATCACAGCCCTGCAGTAGTTCATACTAAACACACAATAAAGCAGTGGCAGGTATACAGCTGTAAATTAACTAGATGATTCCCTTACCTGGTGATACTGCTTGGCATTTTCTCTGGCCACCACTGCAGTACCCAGAACATCCGATCCCTTCCACTTAACTCCGCCTCCCCATCCGCAGGTGCCACTCTAAACTCTCCCCCAGTCTCCAAGCCACCCACCCCCCATTCAGCCCACAGAGTCTGGCTTGTGGATGCTGGGATATCTGGGGCAGTCTTGTGTAACGAGACAGCTTCGGCAGTGAGTCCTTGCACTGGGGAACATCCTGAGTACACTGGGAGGCTTCCAGTTTGCACTTAAAAATGAATGAGACGGACAGGAAGAGTGGGGGGAGGGTTTCCTCTATGAGGCTTTAGTTCTCAGGTCTAAATGACCAGATGAGAATAGAGATGGGGGAGGGCCAGAAAAATGCACGGCAGTACTGAGGAGGAGATGAGGAGAATCGCGAGGGATTGTTTCTCACATTCCAGGCTGATGACATCACACATCCTCTGGTTCTTCTCTGGGCTCTCCATGGCTCAGGAGCACAGGGACCGGCACGGAGGGTGAGATGTGCCGCTTCCCCCAGGGTGCACACACTGTCTCACCCTCCACTTCCTCCGCTGAGGTGGCTCTCATAGAGCCACCATCTGGTTGCCAAAGGGGCCATCGAGACAGGAACTTCAATTTGCTTTTTCCGGATCCTCCTTATAAGTCTCCCCCCAGGCCCAGAACCACAGTGGTTATTCTCTGACTGAGCTACCAGGATACAGACCAGCTGGGGAGCAGCTACACATGTCCAGGCACGCATACATGTATATATAATACACACAAGTGCATATTCACATGTCTATAAACACACATAAATTTGATTCTTAAATACTGCAAATACATCAGTTTGAGAGAGTGAGGCAGAGAGAGACACGAGGTCTGCACCAGCCTTCCGTTAGCGAAGTTTAAAAATAACGTTGGGGGACCGGCGAATCACGGCAGACAAACAAGCAGCATCCTCAGCCTGCCCACCCCCCTCCCGCTCTCACGCCATCCTTATCCTGCCCACCCGCCTCCCGCTCTCACGGCATCCTCAGCCTGCCCACCCACCTCCCGCTCTCACACACCCGCCTTCATCCAGAACAGGTGCACCCGGTAATTAATTTCCACCCTACGGAGTCACGCCATTAAACAATTAAACAACTGAACACAATGTAATAGATAAAAAGGTACTACTCTAGAGGAAAGTTATAATGGACTCATGAAACGATAAAGGCTTTTTACGTAGACTAAAAAAAAGAAAAATAAATGGCATGCGAAAGAATCAAATTAACAAAAGCGCTCATTAAAGCAGTAAGTTGCATACCTGTATATTGGAAGCGTTTCAGAAGTATTTTACATGCATATTACGTCACTGGAATATATGTACTGTATAAATCCTATGGACATAAAGAGCACTTTGGGGAAGCGAAGGGGACGAGAAACATCGCAGTAGCTTACGGCGACCGGACCAGACCGCACTGTACCTTGCAGACAGAGGTTTGCCAAATAACGAATAAAAGATGCAGAAGAGCGTCGATCCGAAAAGCAAGTTCGTTTCTAATTAAGCTTTTCTGTATGTACAGCTAATTCACATGTATTTACTTAGCTAACGATAAATTGAGTTAACGCTCCTCTTACGGCGAGACTGCAGATAGTGAAGAATACCTTTAAAATTTTATACATCGATTCCTACCGCTTGGCATGAAACTAAATGAACTCCGGCTATAGAAGATCCGCTTTTTAATGGTTTTTAAATTATGTGCTGTCAACCCCGGTCCCCATTTCGTTCGTCAGGAAGTGGAAAAACAAGGATATGGGCGACAAGGACTGCATACACAAGAGCAGAATACGGGGTAGAGAGAGAGAAGAGGCTCGCTTTCTCAAAAGGTCGCTCCATCCATCGTAGATAAACCAACCGATTACATCTAAACAACCGTGACAGTGTGAGCTTCCAGAAAGGCGGTTTCAGACCCAGGGGAAAAACGGAATCCTTTCCGTCCTTCGCGGATATCACAGCTCCCATTGCAAAGTCATTTTAGCGTACGGGTCAAAAGCATTGCATAAACATACATTTTAAACATTCAGAATTTTATTTATTAAAAGTGCTTCTGTCTATCTGAAAGAAACAAAGTAATTAATTTTCATATCCATTTATAACAAATCAGCTTAACTGCAGAGGAAAATTCTCTTTACATATCCTTTTTTCTATGTGTGTTTACTTATTATTAAAATAATTTATAACCAAATACAATAAACAAAGTATATTCAGCGCTCACAGAAAGTCTTGGGACGCTCGCGTAATTCTGTAACAATGTTGCAAATTTATTGATTTCACAACAAAAGCCCATTGAAAAGCGATGTATCTTCGGCACAGACATTTTCTTTTATTTAGTGTCATAATTTTTTTGACTGACTCATTCAGTTGCCATTTTGCTATTAATTGCAATCGCAGCCACTGGCTCCCAAAGTGATTCTAAACACACATGTTCGGTGTTTTATGTTATTGCAGAGGTGTTACTAATTAAAAAGCACCCAGTGATGCTTGTCAATGAACTTTTTCACTCAAAGCAGTTCTTTTAGAACTATAATTTGGGTTTCAGTTTATTACTAATAGAAATTAATGTTTTACTTAAAACTATTGGTCGTTTGTATCGCAATAGATATATATTTTTGTAAAGCAATGAATGAAGTAGTGATTTTTGTTATAAAACCAATAAATGTGTGATATTTTTTACTGAATTTAGAAAGACTTTCTGTGAGCACTGAAATTCATATATGGACACATTTTATTTCTGGAATCCATTTTACTGGCGCGGTTCCTCCTCTAGGGGGCATGTTCGTAACCTTTTGTCCACCAGCTCCTTGACCAGGTGCTTAGTTTAGCAAAGACATCATGTAAGGGCTCCCCCTGCGACGGGTAGGAGAGCCTGCTGATTGGACGGCTGCTACAGGACTGAGCTCAGGCCAGAGGGGTCGAGAGGGCAGAGAAAGGCGGAGGTGTCACTTCACCGAAGGCCTGCCACATGCCACATTTCAATTCTGCTAGATACACTGACACATGCCTATTCAGAAAAAGATGGTTGTGTTATTATTATGTGGCACCATAATAAGAATAATAATAATGATAATAATTTTGGTCTGTCTCAATATTACTCATCGTAGCTTATCAGATTCCATTATTCAAAGGAATACGGTTGCAGTTTCACACACTTTGTAATGAAGACCCTGGCAGTGAGTGCCACACAATCGCAGTGCAAGCACAGCCGGATGGAGAAGGATCAACCCCGGCCAGTTACAGTGACACTGATGCCTAATGACAGTCGAACGATGGTGCGGCCACTGGCAAAGGAGGAGTGGACTCACCTTGAAGCCAATGTCCTCTTTCTTGCAGCACAGGCAGGCCAGCATGAGAAAGACAAAGGTGAAGAGGCCGGAGAAGGAAACCACCACCACTGACAGGGAGGAGGACCAGGAGAGCTCGCCTGGTGGGGCGCCATCTGTGGGCAGATAGGGGAATAGCAATTAGGCCAACCAGAGCAAAGAAAAGAAAACAAGGCAATTAACCGAGAAGAGCAGGAGCCCAAGGAATGTCCTTCCAAGCAATGTCACGCCTCTCAGTGGCATCTCCTGCGTTCTTTTCAAAGCACCATCCTCAGCAAACTTCAGAATCTCCAGGCAACCATGAGCTCTCCTAGCAGATTGAAACCTTCTAAAAAATAATTGCCAAGAAAGTTTCAGATGAATGTTACTTGTTATCTTTAAATGTCAGTGCCTTTGGCACTCTCTCAGAACGGATAGTTTTTCAGGGCTGACGTCTGTATTGTGTTTTGGTTGTTAATGTAAATATCTGCACGGTGTTGGTACCTGTGTATCGACTTAACTAACATCATTCATGGTCATGATTCATCATGTGTCCCACGCTGAAACATGGAGGTGATTTTATTAATAGCTGGTTTGTCAATACACAACCCTGAAGCCACCAAAGATGGGGCATCCAGATGAATGTCGGTATGGCGCCCATCGGTCATCATAGCCATCGCTTCTGTGCTCCCGTAATTCAGTGGGGCCAGATCCCCCTCGAAAGCTCCACCTGTGACAAGGTGAACGCTCTTTCCGCACGAGTGACTGGTGTTTTAGGTCATGAGTCACCAAGGGAGAGGGAGACAGAATGACAGATAAAGGTGAAATGAAACAAAGACACAGCGTGCCGAGGACGGAGTGAGAGAATGCCCTCACTAAAGGAATGCGTGTTATCTTAAGCAAACACTGCGTCAGATTTACTTATCCAGCCAAGTATTTCACTAAAGTGGCTCAGGGGGACAACAGCAGTGATGGGCCTTCTGGTCACAAGTGCAGTTTTCACCCACGCTGCCCCCTGCTGGCACTGAAAGATAAACATTTTTAAAGACAGTGGATGAATGACAGCAGAAAGAAGGGGAAAGGATACAGGGAAGGAGGTGAATGTGAGGAACAGGACGGGATGTAGAACATGGAGCATGAAGTGCGGCAGCCCGTGGCCACGAGCTCGAGGACCCCAACGCCCATCCATCCGGTAGGAACTTGCGAGATGTAGGAATGGAGAGACTAATGGTGCTTTGGATAAAGTAGAAGTAAAGGCACAATAAGAATGATTCTGCTGATTTGAGGTGTAACACGCAATCTGGCTCCGGTGTGAGTGATGGAGACACATCCGCAAACCTCCAGATGGCACTGTGCCAGGCGGCAGCCGCCTGCCATCCCGAGACTCTGGGCATCTGGGGAATCACAACTTACACCGTGCCAGGCGTCTTCCTGGCAGCACCTCCTGGGACCTGCCCTCCCGTGCCACACAGATCTGCTACCCCCTTCGAGGGCTTAGTTACAGAGACAAGCAGGGATGAGCACAATCTTCTGGGGCTCGGCAAAATCCCTCAGCGGGCACGTAACGGGGGCACGAGAGGCAGCGGTGCCAGGCCTCCTGCTTACCAGAGCCTGAAGAGCAGAGTGATGCTTTTACATCGCCCACTGCAGCATTAAAGCGTCTTACGTCTCCGAAATAAATGGCTTCCGGGTGCCAGGACCCGTGGGCGAATGCCCAGCACCACCTCCCTGCATCCCATCATACCAGGTCACTCTTAAGATGTTGACTTGCGTTAATAAATGTAACGCAATAATAACACATGTAACATATGCTGCAAGCGTGCATTGGTCTGGTCTGTAGCTGCGGTAACCTTGCAGCAGTTGTCATGGAAACAGACTGAATGGACCGGACTTCTCATTGTGTCCAGTTCTCCTTCCCTTAAGTTCCCTTAGTTAGTGCTGCTTCTTGCCCCCCCCCATCCCACCACCATTGATCTGCTGACAGCTGGTCACTCTGCTGGCCACTAAGCCCCCCCCCACACACACACACACACACAGATTGCATCCCACAAATTTGTACAAAGGAGAGCTGGACAGGGGCAGGACAAACTAGATCAGAGTCAACAGGAGGCAAACTCGACTTGGGGGGGTTCAGCTGGCAGGAGAAAGCCCATTTCTGGCTAGATATCTCAGTCACACCCCCTCGGCATCACTGGAGAAAATCAGCAACTATAGCAAGAAAATTCTGAGAGACACAGGAAAGACAGGCTCATGCGGAAGATCGCTACCTGGACAGCGTTTAACAGGCAGTACGAGGACAGCTCTCGTCTAGCTACCTACCAGGGCTCTTCAAATCTGGCCTTCAATCCAAAATCCAGGCCGTGTTTTCAGTTCTCCCAGGTAGTTAGTTTAATAATTACTGAGTCTGATTGGCCACAGTGGCTTCACACAATGCTCACGGGTAAAGGAGGCCTGGAAAATCGGCAGTTCTCAGCCCATGAGGACCGTGGTTTGAACAGCCCTGCTCTAAGCAGTTCTATGAAAATGAACGACATGCAAAAACACAGCTGGAAGCCTCACTGATACAAGGGCTTTCACATATAAACAGGCCCGGATTAGATCCATCCAGATTCTGCAGGGTCACAGGGGGACTGCAGCCAGTCCAGAGGCAGGGAACAGCCCAGGATGGGGCGCCAACCCATCACAGGGCACACTCTGCCCACCGCACTGGGCAGTGGTGTCTTAATGGTTAGGGAAGCACATTTGTAATTGAAAGATTGCTGGTATGAATCCCTGACCAGTAAGACACCACTGAGGTACCCTGAGCAAGGTACCGCCCCCAAGCACTGCTCCCCGGGCGCTGAATTAGCTGCCCCCTGCTATGTTACATATGGGTTAAATGCAGGGGACACATTTTGTTGTTGTGCACTGTGTGCTGTGGTGTGTCAACAATGACCGCTGATCCCTAAATTCTCACACGCCATTCAATCATGCATGCACACCAATGGGCAATTTGGCAGCTCCAATTAACCTCAGCGTGTTTGGGGGGGAGGAAGAGTACCCAGAGGAAACCCCCCCCCCCCAAGAGCACGGGGAAAACATTCAGACTCCACACATGGAGCCACGGCAGAGACTCAAACCCTGGGGCCAGAGGTGTGAGTGCTGATCACTGCACCACCATGCCGCCCCGCCCAATTAGCTGTTTACATTTAATGCTAATATTGATACATCTTTACCGGGAATTCCTGCTGCGACTTTGATGGGTACTGTAGGTCTAGGTCAACAGGAAGGATCAAAGCCTCCAGGTCCTTTTTCAGTTCCTCCTTCTGGAATGGAGTGTAGGGAACTGGGAGGAAGCAAAAATGTGGACTGTCTGTGGGGGGAGCAAAAATGTGGACTGTCTGCGGGTCCCCGAGGACCGGGCTGGGAAACACTGCTCTACTGCACCAGTTGTTGGAGTCTGGACGATACAAAGAGAAACACTATTTTTGGGTTATTGTAGGGCTGCCAGCTCGGGTGTGACACTCACGCTTTCTGACTTTCACAGCAAATCGATATTATTCCATTATAAACCTAAAATTAGCTACAACAAATGCGGTGAGGTAGTTTGCAAACCTTGCAGACTATTTACAAGGCAATAAAACTGTTACATACATGTATATACGTGTGCAGACTCGTCTCAAATTGACAACCTCACTGCAGCTGGCAACCCTGTTAATGGATTAATCAATGAATTAACTAGTTTTCTATTTACTTTTAATGTATCTGTTTATTAATAGCCTTGGCTAGCACGGTAGCATTAGCCTGAGAGAGTACGAGGCGTAGCGCTTGGGACAGGAGGTGATATTCTGCTGAAGCCCGAGGCTGGACGCTCTGTCTGGACTCTCTGTCTGGNGCGGTGAGGTAGTTTGCAAACCTTGCAGACTATTTACAAGGCAATAAAACTGTTACATACATGTATATACGTGTGCAGACTCGTCTCAAATTGACAACCTCACTGCAGCTGGCAACCCTGTTAATGGATTAATCAATGAATTAACTAGTTTTCTATTTACTTTTAATGTATCTGTTTATTAATAGCCTTGGCTAGCACGGTAGCATTAGCCTGAGAGAGTACGAGGCGTAGCGCTTGGGACAGGAGGTGATATTCTGCTGAAGCCCGAGGCTGGACGCTCTGTCTGGACTCTCTGTCTGGACTCTCTGTCTGTCCGCTCTGTCTAGCTTCTCTGTCTGGACGCTCTGTCTGGCTGCTCAGTCTGGACGCTCTGCCTGGCCGCTCTGTCTGGACGCTCTGTCTGGACGCTCTGTCCACTCTGTCTGGATGCTCTGTCAAGCCGCTCTGTCTAGACGCTCTGTCTGGACGCTCTGTCTGGCTGCTCTGTGTGGACGCTCTGTCCGCTCTGTCTGGACGCTCTGTTTGCCCTCTCTGTCTGGACGCTCTGTCTGGACGCTCTGTCTGCTCTGTCTGGACGCTCTGTCCACTCTGTCTGGACGCTCTGTCAGGCCGCTCTGTCTGACCGCTCTGTCTGGACGCTCTGTCCGCTCTGTGTGGCTGCTCTGTCTGGACGCTCTGTCCGCTCTGTCTGGACTCTCTGTCTGGACGCTCTGTCTGGACGCTCTGTCTGGCCGCTGCTCTTCATCAGCCTTCAAGACAGTGAGCAGCATGTCCAGCACAACGGCTGGTAGCTAAGAGCTGCAATCGCCAGCACCCTGGACAGGATGGCTGTCTGCTGTGGGGCCCATATATGCACACGGTGTGGGAGGAAACCCAGCCAATGTGGGGGTCTGCTAGCTCCGCCCACAACCAGGGTGGAGGCGGGACTCAAACCCCCAGTGCTCTGCCACTTGCTGAGCCAGCGTACCGCATGTGTCACGAATCTGGGCTTTTTTAAAACACATTAATTTCGCTGTTGCAGCTAAAGGATGGGGGGGGGGGTCTATTGCAGCAGTACCTCATACTTATTTTAATGAATAAAAATTAAAGTACAGCACTTAAGATGAGCCATCATGAAAGTCCTGTCCAAATGGAGGGGGGGTTGATATACCCCTTGTGCCCTTCACAATTCCACCCTGATTGCTTCACCTTAATGAGTCGCTGAGGTGTAAAGCGGGGGCGGAGGGGGGGGGGGTGGACAGGGAAGGACAGGCAGGGGCCAAA